TGCTGTTGTCCCATCCCACCATGCTCTGCTGCTCCATCCCGTGACCTGTGTTGCCTATTGGGCAACAGCATGGGTCAGGGAGTATAGCAGCAGCATGTTGGGATGAGGCCACAGCACGTGCTGCTTCCCTGTTTTCTGACTCTCTCACTTGCTGCCCAATCCCCCACTCATGCTGCTACTGCATCCCCTAAACCAGCTGCTGCCAATCGGAAGCATGGGTTGGGAGGGGGCAACAGCGCTGTACTGTTTCCTCATACCCTGACCTGTGCTGCTGCCCCACCTCCTGACCCATGCTGCTGATTTGGATAGGGAAGCAACATGTGCTGCTTTGCATCCCCTAACATGCTGCTTCCACATCCCCTGACCCATGCTGCTGCTCAATCAACAGAGTGGGTTAGGGATAGAGCAGCAGTGTACACTGCTGTCCATCCCCCACCCATGCTGACTCCCTGTCCCCTGCCCGATTTCCCCCCCCCCCAACTATTGCTGATGCTCACCCCCAAACTGCAGTGCCACCCAATCTTGTACTCTTGCCATGACTCCCGACTTGCACTCACCACATCATTACTGACATCATGGCTCCAAGCAGCAGCAGCATCCCAGCAGGTCCCGGTCCTGCTCCTGCCCCTGGATAGAGCCAGAGCACTAATACTGAAAACCAAGATGAGGTGTGTATTTCCCCTCTCCTGACTGAAGAGGGAAACCTCATCTTGGATTTGAGTAAATGCGATAATACAAACACACTGAGTTTTTAATTATGACTATGAATTTGTGACCAGTGTTTTAAAAATCAAGTATCAGGTGTTTATTTGATTCACTGTTTTGCTTTTTCCATGACTTGAATTATGAAATACATATAGCAGTTTACATTCAGTGAATTTGGTAGGGATACTTCATGAGCGGAAATAATTTATACTTGAAATTGTTAATGATAACCTTGCTAAATTTTGCTGTATATCACCTTTTGTCCCCAGTAGTAGTTTTATAATAGGTGTCCAATATGCTGCAGTTATTTTA